GGAAGTCTTCTCCCGAGGGCCACCGTCTCTGGGAACACAAGCCGCAACTTCTGGGTATCTCGGTTTGCTTGCAGTGTGGCCAGTCTGGGGTCTCAAAAATAACCACCCTAAGTACCAGTAGGTAACTCAGCGAGTGCGCAGTGGATTAGAAATGGCTTTCTCTCCTACTTCCTGCGTCAATCGTTAATTTTCTCCCTATCAATGCCCTCGGCCAGCTGACAACTAAATTCAACAGGGATAAATGTGAAGTTAGGGCGAAACACCACACTCCACAAAAACAGCTTAGAGGACGTAAGATAATTTGTGAAAAGCTCTCAGGAAACTGGGACAATGGTAATGATAGATGCCATTCACAGAAGCATGAGGTCCAGAGAAGAGGAGGGGGCCACCCGGCTGCACTCCTGGGCTTTTCCAACCTAGCTTGAGTGTTGGGTTTGGCGATAGGTGCTGTGCTTCAGGGCACCAAGAGTTTCCTAAGAGACCCAGGGGAAGGAGCGAGGGTGAAGAAGTCTTTGGGGATCATCAGTAAAAGAAATAGTTGAAGACATTGGACCTAAGAGGACATTCAGGGGAAATATCTCAAACTCTTGGCTCCACGTACAGGGAGGAATCTCTTTCAGTGTGCGTGAGGCCAAAGACAACTCCCGCTTCACAGCCCGGCCCTTCTTCAGACTGGAAGGGGTGGTGGTGGTGGGGTCTGGCTTCCTGCCTGTTGATAAGGGCAGGCCCACCTTGATCCAGGGAGGACCTCACCTTACCCTGGATTCATCTGCAAGACCTGTTTCCAAATAAGTTACTGCTACAGTTTGGATGTGGAATGTGCCTCAAAAGCCCGTGTATTAAAGGCTTGGTCACTAGCTACAGGGCTGAAGGACAATAGAGGGGAGCGTCGGAAACTGTAAGCCAAAATAAATCTTTCCACCTTACAAGTTATTTATGTGAGAGTATTATGTCAGGTATTATGTCACAGTGATGGAAAACTGACGAACACAGGACCTTCCCAGATAGTGGGGTTAGTAGTACAGCTTTGTCTCCTGGGAGGACATAGTTTGACCCCCAAAACCCAACTCTTTAATCTGCTGAAGAGAGATCGGTGGAAGGGAGAGGGGAAGGAAGGAAGGAAAGGAAGTGCGTTCAGTGGAAGAGCTACTGTAGAGTGCGTGCATTCAGTCTCCCTCTGAGCATAATTCCGCACACACGCCAAGGGATCCACGGAAATGACCATTTTTATGGCATCGTTGAATTGATGCATTCATAACTATGGATAGTTATGCAGCCACTAAAAGAATGTATTTAGAAATGAGTTCATACTGCCGGTGTGCAGCTCAGAGGTAAAGAGCTCAAGGCTCTGGGTTCCATCTCAGCCCTGAAAAAAAAAATGAAAAAGTTAATATGTTGTGTTGGACTGTGTGATTTCTATTTACAATTTCTATCAAATATAAAATAACACCCTAGATGTAGAGTGAAAGTTGCAATCCGGAGAAAGTTTTATGCCCCCTGATTCCTGTGCTATTTCCTTTTAGGGTTTTTAGCCATTTGGGGATTGATATCAACTTATTATTTTTTGAATTAGAAAATAAAAAGTTTTCTAGAAACTGAAATTTTAAACTGGAGCAATGTTTGTAATTATTATAAAATGAAAAAAGCAGGTTGCAGATTGAAGTGTATAGCATGACTGCATTTTTAAAATAGGGGGACAGCTGGGGATATAGCTAAGTGGGTAGAGCGCCTGCCTTGCATGCACAAGGCCCTGGGTTCAATCCCCAGCACTGCAGCCTTTCCAAAAACCCATTTGGCAGTTTCTCATAAAACTAAATGTCTTTGTTGTATGACCCAGCAATTATGCTCTTGGGCGTTTATCCCAGAGATGAAGATTTATATTCACGCAGAAACCTGTACATGGGTGTTCACAGCCACATTGTTATTAATAGCTGGAATTAGCAGGTCTCCTTCAGCGGGTGAAGGATTAAACAATGGCACAGCCATGCATGGGCTGTGCTTGGCAGTAAAAGGAACAAACTGTTGACATGACAGCTTGGATGCATCCCGAGAGAGTCGTGCTGAGTGGAAACCACCAATCCCTGAAGGTGATGTGCACCACCAATCCCTGAAGGTGATGTGCTGTGTGGTTCCGACTGTAGAACGTTCTCAAGATGACAGAACCGTTGAAATGGAGAGGACAGTGGCTGCCTTGGGTGGAGGAGGGGCTGTGGCAGGAGGAGGTGGGCGTGGCCAGGAGCCGGCAGTAGGAGGGGCCCTTTGGGGATTGGACCATTCTGCATCTTGACTGTATCAGTGCCACTCTCCTGGATGTGACGTTGTACTAAAGTTTTGTAACAAGTTATCATTGGGGGAAACTGAGTCAAGGGGACTGGATATTTTCATATATTTCTTAAAACTGTATGTCAATCTACCATGATCAAAAAACAGGATTTAATTTTTTTTTTTTTAAATAGGGCCTGAGGCCTAGCACAGGGGCGTATGCTAGTAATCCCAATGACTCAGGAGGCTGAGGCAGGAGGATCACAAGTGGCTGAGGTCAGCCTCACCTAAGAAACTTAGCCACTTAGCAAGTCACTTAGCAAGACCCTGTCTCAAACAATAAAAAGGGCTGGGGATGTGGCTTAGTGGTAAGTACCAAAAATATGAGGCCTAGGGGTGTAGGTGGTGGAGTATGTGCTTAGTGTGCGCAAGGCTTTGGGTTCAACCCCCAACTTTCTCCCCAAAAGGGGGAGACCCACACGTGTGTACGTGTGTGGGTGTGCACACAAAGGATGCTGTGGGAAGACAGACAGCAAACCCAACAGGTTTTCTGCTGGAGAACAAATCTGCACGGAGAGATCATTTACTTCTTTTTCAACCTCTTATTCACTTGTTCCAACAAGAAGGTGCGACTTGGAGATTTTGTTCAGACCCATGAAGTGAAAAAAAAAAGAAAAGAAATAAAGTGTGGGGAGAGGGAATGGCAGAGAGCCAGCCCTGCCTGCACCACCCATTTCTGTGGAAAGTGCTCCTCTGGGTTTCCTTGAACGTTTCCGAATCTACAGTGTGAGAGGCAGGAGTGAGCGGGGTGTGCATGGCCCACTCTGGGCTCCGTGACCCCCCCACCTACCACGGGCCGTCCTGGACCAGCCAGCCCAGGTGCTCTGTCCTTGTGAAAAGCAAAGACATTAGACCGGAGGATCGGAACCTCTGGGTTGGCAGCAATAAACTTCCCCTGAGCATCCCCAGGGGCTCTGAAGTATCATCCTGGTGCCTCTGAGGGATAACCTCATGTAACTCTCTGAGGTCCCCAGGGCAATGGGAGTGTGGTTACCCCCATGTACAGATGAGGAGACTGAGGGGGGACCGTGTTCATACTGGGTCCTGCAGAGTTTGCTGTCGGCATGTATGTCACTCAGGGCGTCACCTCGGAGACCCTTGAGCCCAGGAGCCTTCCGGAAATAGTCTTGCCTGTGAGTCTCTCAGCTCTTCAGAGGCAGCAGCTGAAAGACCCTGGTGGAGGGAGGGCTTGAGGGGGGCAGCTAGCAACCCGCTCGTGGGTATCAGGTGGGAGAACAGTGTGCACCCAGGCTATTAGGGACAGAGAGACAGATGTGTGTCTGCCACCGACCCTGCTTCCAAGACTGTGCTCCTAACTGGCTGTGAGGTCGACCCGGGCTGCAGGAGGCCAGCAGGACACTTGGCAGCAGCCATGGAAAAAGAGCAGGGCCCCAGTTGGAAGCAGCCCCAGGCAGGCCCACAGGTGCCCGGAGGAGCTCCTTGCTGGGCACTCGCAGGCTGACCCGGGAAGGCGGGCTTGGCTGGCACAGGCAGGCGCCCACTGCCTATGGAACCCTGTGTGGCCCCCTCTCATCCAGTTCTATAGTGGGCACTCCCAGGCTGCAGGGCAGCAGGGGACTAGGAGAGTTGGACAGAAGATCCTGGAAGGTAAGACTGGCCTGTCCTCTTACAGTTACTAAACCCAGGAGTCCTGCCTGCAACCCTGTGAAGGCCACTTCTCAGAGTGGGAAGGACAAGACCAGGCGGGAGCTGGTCTCAGGTCTTCCACAAGTTTCTCCTGCACCGTGTTCTCTGTCTCCAGTCTCATTGAGTAAGGGGACTGCAACTGAACCGTGAACAGATGCGGTGTGCACACTGTGTGGTCGAAAGAGGGAAGGACACAGACAGACAGACCCCGCCCCAACCTCGGCCTGTGCCAGGCTGGCTGCTCTGTCTGGAAGGCCCTCTCCACCCCATTCCCCAGGAGCAAGGTCTTTGCCGATTCTCAAGCTGTGGTTCTTGAGTGCCCTTGGGTACAGGGATCTCACATGCTGCCTGCCCAGGACAGTCCCTCATGGCACCTCTGGTCCCAGCAGTTATGGATAGTGAGTCTTTCACTCTCACAGGGGGTCCAGGCTTGGAACATAAAGAATATGGTCACCTTTAAGGTGCCCCCCAAAAGCTGTGTGAGGCAATGCAAAAAAAATTCAGAGGTGCAATGACTGGATTAGGAGAGCCTCAACCTTAACCTGATCCACTTGGATGGATTAACTGGTGCTAGCTGTAGGCAGGTGGAGGAGGTGGGTCGTGGGGGTCAAGCCTTTGGGGTTTATATTTTGTCCCTGGTGAGCAGAGCTCTCTGGGCTTCTTGATTATCATGTCCTGAGCCGCTTTCCTCCTTCCACACTCTTCTGCCATGACGTTGTAGCTCATCTTGAGCCCAGAATAAGAGAGTCTGCTGTTTATGGACTGAGACCTGGAAACCGTGAGCGCCAAATAAACCTTTCCTCCTCTAATTGCTTTTGTCGGGTCTTTTGGTCACAGCAATGAAGAAGCTGGATAAAGCAGGGTCCCTGCCCCACGGTGTGGTTGTTCCCTGCGTTTGTGTCTGTGGCCCCTCGGGGACACCGAGGCAGACCCCTCCCCGCCCGTCCCCGCAGGGCCTGCTCGGGGCTCTGCGCACAGACTGTGACGGACGCCGCAGAACAGTGACGGTGCTGTCCTCTCCTTCCCTGCAGGGATCTACAAAGGGCACTGCTTCCGGATCAATCACTTCCCCGAGGACAATGATTACGACCATGACAGCTCCGAGTACCTCCTTCGTGAGTGTCAAGAATCCTTGGCTTCCCCTGTTGGGGGACAGGGGGCGCAGGGGGCCGGGTGGCGGCTGGAGGTGGGTGGACGCCCCGGCGGGGCACGGGGGCTCTTCTCTGGAAACCGGGGACGCTCCCTTCCACTGCCTGGTGACCTCAGAGGACGGAGTTTTGTGCAGCGTGGCCATGGCGGGCTGGGATCTCGGTGGAGGGCTCTGCTGAGGGCCCGTGTCCTGGGGAGACTGAGGCTGGAGCAGAGCGGAGGCCACAACCGGGAGCTGCTGGGCGTGGCCGGCTGCAGGGAAGCTGATTGGCTGGAGCCGAGAAGGTTAAAGACGCAGGCGCTGCCCAGGGGCTGCTTCCCTGCGGGGTGTGGTGGCCTGCCCACTGCCCTGCTACTCCCTGATCTGCAGAAAAATCACACTGAGGGCACACCACCACAGCTTCACGGGCTCCAGGCAGCCTGAGGGAGGGGAGAAGGGCAGGGCAGATCTGGAGGAGCTGGGTTGAAGTCCTTTCTGCCCCAAGGACCCAAGCCACGCCTCAGCCCCTGGGCTGTCCCCAGAACCCCTGCCCCTGCCCCACCTGGGCTCCGGTGGCTGTGTGGGGCCCACACTGGAGCCTGGGGGTCCCTGGGACAAACCTAGCCCTGCACCCTGAGTCCAGAGCTCATCCCTGGGCCTGTGAGCACCCACTGGAGGAAAGAGGAGCCACAAAGGAGCCCGGGAATGGAGCAGCAGCATCTCTAGATGGCTTCCCCTTTCACCTTGTCCAGCACCCCAGGGCCGGGCCGGCTTCGTCTATGGAGAATCAATACCAGTGCCCTCAGAGGGAACAGAGTTCACTCTGCACCTGTTTATGGATTTTTTTTTTTTTTTTCTAAAAGAAGGGGTTTGGATTCTGAGTCATCTAGTGAAATAGAACAGTGTGCGGTTCCCATGGAGCCGAGGTCGTGTCAGATTGCTCCAGCCAGGCCCAGGACCTGAAATGATTTGGTCAAAGCTCTGCCCCCATTCCTCCTCCCTCATTTTCTCCTTGTCCTCCTCCTCCTCTTCCTGCCTGACCTCTGATTCTGCTTATTGGGGGGCCCATACCAAACTGGGAAAATGAATTCCCATAGGGCTGCCAAGGATAATTGTGGAGGTTGCACACTGCACAACTCAAGGATTGTCATTTGCCTATATATGGTATGAATGACATCCTTCAGATTCTGCAGTGTAGGATGGAGAAGAATAAAGCAAGAGCCTGAGGGGCAAACAAAGAAGGGGCCGGACCAGCTTCAGTTGCTGGAGTCCTCGAATTCCCCCAGCAATGTCCTGTGGAGGGCCCAAGGACTTGGAACGCCCAGAGTCACTTGCCCACAGCAACTAAAGGTCACTTGGAAAGGGAGAGTGCACCGTGGGGAGAGCAGCCAGGTTCCATAAAAAGCCCGGGAGAGCCATGGAGGGTGGACCTTCTGCCTGTGTTCTTCAGCTGCTGGCAGAGCTGGGGGTTGGAGGGCAGGGCTGACTTCCTGACGAGGTCTGCTTCCACTCAGTGGCCTCAGACAGGGACTTTGGCCTGTCTGAAAGCTGAGCTCTGATTGTGCCTTTGATTGTCCTCTACCTCCCAAGTGCAGATGAGCTTGGGGCCAGAGCAGAGGGCAACTTCCTGAGCTAGGCCCCTGGGTTTCCAGTATTTCACCTCTGGGCTCTCTCCCAGGTCTCCTGCACAGGGAGAAGCCCAGAGAGAGGTCTCCGGGGACTGAGGTTTGCAGCAGTGAGGAGGTTTCATGAGAATTCATTTACTTACTCATTAAACAGAAAGCTATGTGGGTCTGCTGTGTGCCGGGCCCTGTGACAACCACCTGGGATCCAGCAGACGGGAAGCAGAGCCCTGGCCCCTGGTGCTGGCATGCACCATGGTGGGCTGCCTGCCCAGTTCTCCAAGTGTGGACCTGGGAGGCCCCAAGGCCATGCTGTGCACACACAACCTTGAACCATTCAGAAGGACGTCAACCCTGAGCCACCCATTCTGAAGCCAGGCTTGCGTTCTAGGTTGTCATGGGGCTCCTGATGGCCTCTGAGCTCTTGCAGTGCCCCTGCTAGTATGCACCTGCATCACCCAGGATCTGAGGGAGTCGCCACCCCACAGCCTTCCACAGGCCCTACTAGCTCCAGAGTTCCTCCATCTGGGACGGGGCCTGGCACCCCGTCTAGGTTTGGCATTCCTGGTTTGGTGGGCTCCCTTCTCCCCAGCCCCTCTGACCTGTCTGCTGAACGAGGACTTGGGGGAAGGATGGTGACTCTGATTCTCTGGCCAGCACAGCTCAGAGGCACGTTTCAGAAGCACACAGGAAAACTCCCGAGCCTGCAGCGTCGCCAAGAAGGCACAGGCAACAGGGAGGAGGGGGCCGGAGAGAAGAGCTTCATTTAAGGCCCCAGACAATCTCTCGTCTGTGAAGCAGGGCACACACTGGTGTCTATACAAAAAGGAGACAAAAAGGGCCTTCAGAGGCTGAAAGACCCCAAGCCCGTCAGCTGGCTCAGGAGGGGCGTCTGCCCGCATTCCTGTCTCACTGTCCCCTGCTGGGGTCATCAAGCCCATGCCACCGGATTCTGCTGGGCTAGGAGACCAGCAGGCTCACAGGGAAGGCTGAGCCCTGGGGTCCTCCTCAAGTCCCTCCTCCCTTCCTCTGACCCCCTCCCACCCCAGACACTAAGGGAGGGCCTGAAGCCCCACGAGGGGCTTCGTGTTTTCCCACAGTAATCCCCTGAGGTGGGTCTCGGGAAGGAATGCACAAGCTACGTGGCTTAAAACAGTAAAAAATGGCTCTCGGGGTGTGTTGTTCAGAAATCCAAACTCAAGGAGCTGGTGGGATCCTGCCCCCTCTGTGGGCTCTGGAGGGCTCTCTCCTGGCCTCTTCCTGCTTCTGGTGGCATTCTTTGGCCCTGTCACTCCACTCTCTGCCTGCTTTCTCCTCTGTGTCCCCTCTATGGATAAGAGCCCATGTCTCCCCTTGTCAGAAGGACACTTGACATTGGACCTGGGACCACCTCATCCATCCAGGATGGTGTCATCTTGAGACCCTTAATCACACCCACAAAGAACTTTTTCCAAATAAGATCCCATGCCCAGGTCGGGAGGTGGACAGGGTGTGGATGTGTTTGGGGGGCCACACCTTAACTCCTACTGATTGGCATCACTTCTCTCTTCTATGTGACCATGGACTCAGGTGGTCACCTAAGCTACCTGCCCTGGGTGCCCCGCTTGTCCGTGGCAGAACAAGGTCAGGAATGCAGTTCAGCTGCACAGCTCACAGCAGCTCTCTGCACCTAGCAGCCTCTTCTGTGAGCTTCCAAGGGGGTGGGGCGGGGGGGGGGGGTGACAACAGTGAAGAAGGTGAAGAGTCACTTAGGAAGCACAGAATGTGACACTCCCTGTGCTGAGCACTCACACATACAAAACCAACCACAGAACCTTGGTCCCAGGCAGGGCCCCCTTGACCTTGGTTTCCCCTTCTGAGGTTTTAGCCAAACACAGTTCAAAAACATGAAAGGAGAAAATCCCAGAAAATAAACAATCCATGATAAGTAATTTCTATTACAGTAGATTGTTATAGTTGTCTTGTTATTAGCTGTTAATCTCTTACTGCCCCTAATTTGTAAATTGGATTTTATCACAGGTGTGGATGTATAGGAAAACCAAGGCCGTTTCTTGCCATGGGTCCAAGTACATATAATGTTCATACTATCCACAGTTTCAGGCTTCAAAATGCACCCCCTGGGGTGGCTGCTCACTGAACCATGTGTCACGGGTGGGGAAACTGAGTTTCTGAAGAGGTAAAGTGACGTGGCCAAGGCCACACAGCCAGTAGGTCACAGAGACCCACCTAATGTGCCAAAGCCTGTGGTCTTCAGCCACCAATGAGCGCTGCCTCTTGTGGACACAGGGCCCCAGGCTCCCAGAGGCCCCATGGAGACCATGTCCGGGAAAGCCCTGTGGGGACTTACATCCGATGGAGGCTTGCTGGCCTTGAGGTGTTACAGAAACGCGATGCAGTCCGAGGTTTTGGTGGCTGCTACTGTGGCCTCTCCAGTGTCGATGGGGGACCCTGCTCCCTCCTGGCTGACGGGTGTGGCCCGCACCCCAGGGAGGCTGAGCACGTGGGCAGATGTGACTCTGGGTCATGTAGCCTCTGGGAGAGCGAACAGCCAGCCTGGGGCCAACTCTGGCCTTGAGTCCAGCTGCCCTGGCCACCCCCTGTGCCTCTTGACCCACTGAGTCCAGGTCCTGATGGGATCTTCAAATCCTGGGGGAAGGACCTCCAGCCGCAGGGGTCCTGGGAGGCGCCCATGTCCGTGGCCAGCGGGGCGGCTGGCCTCACTGCCCTCTCTGTCTCGTCCCTCCCTGGCCAGGCATTGTGCGAGCCTCCAGCGTGTTCCCCATCCTCAGCACCATCCTGCTCCTGCTGGGAGGACTCTGCATCGGCGCTGGCAGGATCTACAGCCGCAGGAACAACATCGTGCTCAGTGCTGGCATCCTCTTTGTGGCTGCAGGTGAGCCCCCACCCAGGCCGCCCGCTGGGGCCAGCACTGCTGGGGGAGCTGGGCATACGTGGTCTGTATTACCAGGAGTGGGCATCCTGGTGGCAGGGCAGACTGTAAGTTAACTTTGAAAGCCCAGGTGTGCCAGGGTCAGGGAGCAACTGCTTAACAAGGTCTTTGTAGGGGGGGGAGGTGACAGAATTGTTTTGGAGCTAGTAGAGGTGGTGGGCCCCCAATGCCACTGCACTGTGCCCTTCTGAAGGGTCATTTTATGTGGTGTGATAAGAAAAGAAAAAGTCGGGTGTGTGATGTGCCATCAAGACAGAGAGACGGGGGCTTTTCAAGTCTCTGAGGAGTCGGGGATCGGGAAGGCACCGGGTAAGTCATGGGAAGCCAAGAACTAAAGGCGTCGGCCAGGTAAAGACAGGATGAGGGTCCAAAATGGACGTGAGTATAACAGGCATTTATTCAGCATGGACATCATATTAGTGGGTAAGTGATCTAGAGATGACCGGAGCCCAGCGCAGGGTGTGCTCAGGTTGTGTGCAAGCTCTGGGCTGTTTACGTGATGAACTTGAACTTGCAGATCTGTCATCTTTTTTTTTTTTTTTTTAATGCATTGCAGCCATTTTTTTTAAATATTTTTTTAGTTGTAGTTGGACACAATACCTTTATTCTATTTATTTATTTTCACATGGTGCTGAGGATCAAACCCAGGGCCTTGCATGTGCTAGGCAAGTGCTCTACCACTGAGCCACAACCCCAGCCCCAGATCTGTCATCTTCTGAGGGTCCTGAAACTAATCTCTCCCAGATACCCAGGGATGACTGTTCTTAGAACAATTAGCTACCAGAATGAAGAAAGGCGTCTCCAGGAGGGGAATGACCAGAGCCCCTCCTCCGGCCGCCTGTCCCCTGTCCTGTCGCTGCGGCCGAGGGTCTGATCTCTGCCTCTGTCCCTCCCCGGCCCCTGCCTCTGCTTCTCTTTCAGGCCTCAGCAACATCATAGGCATCATCGTCTACATTTCCAGCAACACAGGCGACCCCAGTGACAAGCGGGACGAAGACAGGAAGAACCACTACAACTACGGCTGGTCCTTCTACTTCGGGGCCCTGTCCTTCATTGTGGCCGAAACCGTGGGCGTCCTGGCTGTAAACATTTACATTGAGAAAAATAAAGAGCTGAGGTTTAAGACCAAACGGGAATTCCTCAAGGCCTCTTCCTCGTCCCCTTATGCCAGGATGCCGAGCTACCGGTACCGGCGACGGCGCTCCAGGTCCAGCTCCAGGTCCACCGAGGCCTCGCCCTCCAGGGACGCATCTCCCGTGGGCCTCAAGATCGCCGGGGCCATCCCCATGGGCGAGCTGTCCATGTACACACTGTCCAGGGAGCCCCTCAAGGTGACCACGGCGGCCAGCTACAGCCCCGACCAGGACGCCGGCTTCCTCCAGGTGCACGACTTCTTCGAGCAGGACCTGAAGGAGGGCTTCCACGTCAGCATGCTGAGCCGGCGGACCACCCCCGTGTGAGCGGCCCACCCCTCCTCTCCTCTCAGCACCGGCCTCTCCCCGGATCGGCTGCCTGGGTCACACAGGAGGGCACGGGATGCTTCAGGTGGACGGACGGACAATGAGCTGCAGCCACCCGCAACCCTCCCTGGTCTCGGAAGGTGTCGTGGGCTGGTGTCCAGTGGAAGAAGCCGGAGCCTAGCGTCGGGGCTGGGGTAGAAGCTGAAGGTGGACTGTATCCCAGAATGGGTGTTCGGCTGCCCCCCGGGATTCCTGATCTCCCAGGAGGCCCAAGAGTCTCCTGAGCTGCACGGGAAAATAAAATTGAGCCATTATCTCCTCTTGGAAACAAATCTTGCCAGAAGAATGGAATTTTAGGGCCTTCCTTCCTGCTTGGGCCCCGGGCCCTGGGCCACCAGAGGCTTCTCAGGCACAAGGGGCCTCTGCACTCTCATTAGCTGCTTTTGAACCAGAAGTCCCTGTGTCTTTGAGCCAGAAACCAGGATGCTGAAGCTCCCTCCCTCCCTCTCTGTCTCTCTCCCCCTCTTTCTCTCTGGCACTCTGTTGTTGAAAACAGTCATTCTGAAGAGCAAGCTCTATAGCCAACTGGTGCTTCAGCCTTGTGCTGTCCTGGGGCCGATTTCCCTCCTCCAGAGGAGACCAAGGCTTGGGGAGGAGTCTGAGGCAAAGGTCAGGCCTGTTGATGACCTCCCTGCCTGCTTCTGGAAGTTTCTGCTTGGCTCAGAATGGGCAGGACACACTGACTGAACTTGACGGTCTGGAGGGATCCACAGGTCAGAGTGGCCTCCTGCTGGACACTCCCCAATGGTCTGAGGAGCAGTTCTGTCCCCTGAGCTGTAGGGGATTGCTGGGGGATGGCACAGACCCCCCCCCAGCCCACCGCCCCCAAATGGCATTTGGCAACAGAAGCCTGAACATCTGTGTAAGAAAGAGAGACCAGAGGGCGAATAGCAACCAAAACAAATGAAAATAAATACATAAACCAGAAGACGTGTATCCATTTCCTAGCTGGTCACCAATCATGGTCTGCTCAGTCGGTACCAGGAGAGCAAGTTCTGTTCATTTCCTCATCTTCAAAAGTAGCAGCAACATGTCCCCCAACTCTTCCTATTGTAATTTATTCTGCCACCAGTGGAAAGGACACAGTGCAGGAGTTTGACGGAAGGGGCTGATCTGGGCCTTTCTTCCTCCCTCGGAGAGAGAAATCTCAGCACTGTGTGTCTGAGGAAGGGGGTTCTGTGGTTCTCAGTGTTTCATGCCATTTCCCGCCCCCTCCTGCAGCAAGCCGAGGAAGCGGAGGTGTGTCCAGGTTCGGAAGAGCCCCCTGGAACGCGGAACTCACCCCCTTTTCTATAAACCGTGTGCTTTCTAAAGAGAAATCGTTTCTTACTTTTTGAAACTTCTTAATCCAATCTTGAACAACAGTCACCTGTGATCCCGGTAGCTGTCGCTCTCGGAAGTGACCGAACCAATTCTTACCTCAGCCACCTGCTCACGGAACCCCTGGGCAACTCCGCCCTCCACCTGGGTCCACCAGGCCTTGTGACAACCTGTGTCCTTCCCTGCCCGCCCCTGGCCCCCAGGAAAGGACATCACACCCCCCGGCTCCTGCGTGCGGGTGAGCTGAGACGCGAGGCCTGCCAGGTCCCCTTTGTGCTTGCTCAAAACCCTTTCCTCCCGGCCAGGATGGCTCTGTACGGTGATGTGTCCAAGCATGCACAGCAGTGAGCACCAGGGTCAGGGGCCGCCCGGGCCCTGCCTCCCTCCCCACCCAGCCCGCGCCTTCCCCCACCACTTCACCACCATGCCACCGTCTCACCAGGCTGAAGGAGCCCCGTCCCCCAGCAGGACCCCAGGACTTGTCTTCTGTCTCCTCCAAAAGCAAGGTCACCTTGCTGTTGCTGCCACACGAGCCACCCCCGACCGCTGCCCCAGATCGTCCCAAGAGCGCTGCGCCCACTGAATCCTACCTCTTGCCCAGCCCCAGGCAGAGAACACAGGGCCCACGCTGGGGACCACGAGAGAGCAGACCCAAGGGGAAGAAGGCACCAGGAGGGACGCAGGGCAGGGGCACAGCGCCCCTAGAGGCTCCTGCCGTCACAGCCTCTCCACCCACTGCCTCCGCTCCACCCAGGACCCTGGTCTCTGGCCGCCCTCCTGCTGCTGCAGCTCGGCCCAGGCAGTCTCAGACCTGGCCGTCCCTGGGGGATGTGTGGCCTGAGCCCGCCTCCCCGCCTCCTCCCGCCCCAGCCCGCCCTCCTACCCTGTGTTTCGCCAGTTAAGCACCTGCCATCCCGTCCGTACCCACCACTGGTTTGGGGTTGTTAGTTCTGTCTTTTTTTTTTTTAATTAAATAAAAACATTTTTAAAATGTTCTCTTCTTGATGCAGGGAGGTGCGGGAAGAGCCCCCCCTGAGTCTTTGTAGACACTTAGTGTCCCAGGTCCCGAAGACACTGGACCCTCCAAGAGAAGTGGGAGGCTGAGGGGGCGGCTGGAGGCTGCTGGCCAAGGCTGCTTTAGCTGGCTGCAGCCTGGCTCGCTGGCCACCTCCCCAGGACGTGGACTACCTCAGACTTCTGGGTGGTGCCATTGTGGTAACTTTCCACAGATGAGCCGGGAGATGGACAGGCCACCCTACAGTGTGGAGGGCATCTGGACAGCTGAGTGAGCCAGGCCTGTCCTTGGAAGCTGCAGGTGGGGGCTGGCAGACCAAGCCAGGCCACCAAGGCCCCATGTTACCTGGAGGAGTTCTGAGAGAGTCCACTAACCAGACTCCTTTCCCCTCCCAAGTGACTATAAGAGTGAGATGAGCCCAAGAACCCACATGTAAGCTCTGTGGTCAGAGAAAGTGGCTGGGATAGAGGACAAATGGGCTTCCTGCTGCTGTTGCCAGACCAAGCTACCTGATCCCAGGCTGGGCAGCTAGCTGCCACTTTCCCCAGCCCCGGGGAGGAGTGACCTGGGGAATAGAGAAAGGGGTCACAGGGATCCCCTTGATCCAGGTGCTACTTGACATCCTGCACCAGTCCCAGCAACACCTAAACCACCAGGTTCACCCCGGGGGTGTGCCATGGGTGGATGGCAGGGTTCCCCTCCTCAGGGGCATGAGAAAGGGTAATCGGTGCCCTTCCCCAGGTATGGCCCACTGCAGCCTAGGGACCTTTACATCCAATTCCACCTCCCCTTCTTGCAGGTCTGTGACCTGAGTCGTCTTCCTGAGAGCCACAGCTTTGCTGCTCCTCCTGAAACCAAGGGGACAAAACTCTTGGGGCTCATCCAAGAGAACTTTGTTCCCACGAAGACCTTTCATACCCTGGTCCCAGTGAAGGGAACCGAGAAGGGAGGCTGAGACCCAAAGTCCCTACACCCCTGCCCTTGAGCCTGCAGAGACCGCTCCCTGCGTTTCTGGACTGGCTTTTTCATCCTCTTTGCTTTTGCCTGAGAGGCACCTGGGAAAGAGGATGAGCTGAGCCTCCAGTCCCCAGGGCCAGGGGAGCTCAGGTCTTTGCCAGGTCCCACCCACTGACCCCCAAGCTGCAGGCTGATTGTGCCACCAGCCTGGAGCCACTGCTGCCTGGAGTTGGCACTTGGTGCTAGAACCTCTCTGTCCCCTGTTTATTCTTAGCACTGAGGAAACTCTGGCTCAGCACAAGCCTCACAACCATCCCAGGTGAACTCCCATGCCAGTCTGCATCTGGTGACTTGCTCCCACCTCCCGTGGTCACGAGATCGTGTGTTGAGTGCAGCAGAAATCTCCAGCTCCTTCACTCGCAGAGTTAGGCCCACAAGAACTGACACATGATAGTCCCTAACAAAGAGGCCACTCGGGGCCCCTCCTGCTCAAAAGCCCCTGTTCCATCCTCACTTGTGTTGCTTAGACTGGCCAAGTCATCAACGATCCCCAAATGGACACTGGGCAATAGAAGTTCCTTTCTCACTCTTAGAAAGTCCACTGGCTGGAGCAGGAGAGGTGGTCCACTTCACACCATCATGCAGAGAATTTAGAGGCCATGCTGTGGGGGTCACCCTGGGTGTGGACACTCATCTCTATGCAGACGGAGGGCGGCTACAGTGGATGATCTCAGGGGTGGAGGTACGGTGGGAGATTCTAATGGACCAGGAAGTTGTGGCCCCACCCTCTGTCCATGTAGTCCTGGTCAGAACTAATCACATGTCCATGTGTAAGAGCAAAGGGATGTGGGATAGGCAGTCCAGCCAGCAGGGAGAGGAAAACAGTTAGGGAAGAGCTGGCCAGTCTCAGGCCTCCCTCCTTGGCCTCCTCACCCCCAAACTGTTGGGCAGTACCCGCTTAAAAGTGAGACCTTCACCAGGTATAGTGGCACAGGCTTGGAATCCAGCAACTCAGGAGGCTGAGACAGGAGGATTGCAAGTGTCAGGCCAGCCTCCACAATTGGGAGAGACCCTGTCTCAAAATAAAAAATAAAAATGGCTGGAGATGTGGCTCAGTGGTTGAGTACCCGTGGATTTCAACCCCTAGTATTACAAAAAGAAGAAGAAAAAATAAAAATACCTCAGTGTGGGATCACGTCACTCTCTGTATTCTGAGCCCTTTGGTGCAACTGGAAACTCCACACCACCCCCTCAAAATGATGTATTTCCGAATGTCTATAATGCTGAAGCTGAGTGCCCCACACCAGCCCGATTCTATAGTGAGGAAAAACAAGGCACAGAGAGGCGGGTCCCTCGTGCACGGTCACCGAGCAGGCTGCTGGTGACTGCCTCTGGACTGTGCAGCTGTTAGGACAACTCATCCATTTTTCCCAGCATGCCTTTTCCCAGCAATGTGTTTAGATTTTTGCCTTTTTCCTCTTCACTCTTGAGCCTCCAGTTTCAGAAATAGAAGTCGGGGGTTGAAGAAGAAAGCGGGAAAATGGCCGGGTCAGGAGTGAAGCGAAATGTTCCTGGAAGCCTTTGGGCCTGGGTTTGGGAACAGAATGCTGATGGAATTCAACAAGCCTGGGAGCCTGGCCCGGCTTGACACCGGGACTCAACGGCTCAGTGGTGTCTTCCCACA